GTACACTTGACACACAGTTCTTCTAATAAATTAACTCTTTACCACACGAGCTGCTGGACTCCAGCCTAGAAAACATAATGGTAGGATTGGTATCAATAACCTCGGCTATGTGCTGCAGTAGGGGATGCAGGCGTTGTTGCAGAAAACAGTTGACTGTGAGCGTAAATAAATGTTAAAACATCATGAGATGTGATGGTGGCAGTGCTTTGTGTTACTGAGTTTTGCTGGGATCATGAAACCCTCCTGACTGCATAGAACCTGTTAATGAAAAATCTCTGTGAGTCTTTCCTCTACTGTTTCTTCCTCATCACCCTCGTCTGCCAATATGTTTTGTGTACTTCAGGAAGAGATGACAAAGCCAAACTCTGTATTTCTTTTTTAATTATTAAGATCAAATAAAGAGTAAACTACAAGTAAAAGGGGATGTAAGGCGACATCGACAGGAGTCTGTTTTGTACACATGAATGTTTAAGATCAGACTGAGAAAGGATTTTAAGGAGGAGCTCTGGCTGCGTGGACAGGAAGTAATTCAAAGAATGAAACGTGTTCGCAGCTGAAACACATCAATGGTGAATGTTCATTGAGTCATTTCAGGTGTGACTTAAAAACAGAGATTATGTGTTCCAGTAAATGTTGTTTTTCTATTTTTTGTTGGAGACATTGATGTTTTTTGGCATGCAGTCTGTTCAGAGCTTGACCTTCCCGGCCAGCCCACTGGTGGGATAAAGTCGTGAGAAGCGGCCGAGGGTCCAGATCGGGAAGACGTTTCTGTATGAGGTGTAGCTGATGGCACAGCTTTTATTGAACACACCTGCAATATTCTCCTGAAAAGGAAGAAGAAAAACAACACATTAACAATCCTGTTGTATTTCACATGGTCATCAATGCAGGGATTAAAGGGACACATGTCCAGTTTTGGAAATATCTGCTGTAGTAACGTCGTCATATAGATGGCACTCGCTGTGTTGGGCTCAAAGCACTAAAACAATGCTTTTGTAAAACTAAGCAGCTAAGTCTCTTTACAGAGTGAAGACATTTGTGTTTGATTTTTAGGGTGCGCTGTCCCTTTAAAGGCAGAGAGTCACCTGTGGCCAGTCTCCGTTGGGCAACTGCTTGTCAATCAGCATCTGTACTCCCCTCTCAATGGACTTCCTGTCAGGATGCCTGGTTATGCAGACACACAACATGCATTAC